TTTTTCAGATTCACACTATATTGGATTTACATAGTGATTTGCGTCACGTTACACTATGTTTATTCTTCTGTTGACTGACGGAGTATTACTGCATTAATCATATGATTAAATCATGTGATAAAAATTTTAGACGCGTGAACTAATTGATCGTTATTCTTCCATTTTTCACTCACAAACCATGAATCCCGAAACTTTTGTGAATTTGTTATTTCATTATATCGAAGCAAATTTCGTTCTTCCACAAGATTATTCGTACGTTCATTTGCTTATAATTGGTAGCTCGGAGTCAGACAACACGATCTCTCAATTTCGAAGGTCTGCATACAATTTTGTTATTTTAACGAATAATTTACAACAAAATGAAATTTATCCTAAAGTATTTATTGGTTTAAAAGTGGCTCTTTCGAATCATACACAGATGTTCTCTTTGCATATATTTGTTCCGATAAAATCGCACCTAATAGTGATTTCATGGTAGAACTTTATTTATTTAAAAAGAAAAAAAGTTGAATTAATTGGCTTATAACACCCTTATAAATGTCTACTTACTACTTAGTTGAACGGAATTTTCATTACTCGTTTACTAGTACAAAGACTTCGCGAATCTATAAATCCTAAAGCTTATACACCTTTACTGAAATTATTCAATAATTTTGAACCGCAACCCAATTTTTGTAAGATAACATACGTATGCTCATTATGATCAACACATATCACTTAACCTCATATTAATATAGTTCCTTTTAGATTTTGTATTGCATTGTTGTTGAATCAGGCTTTTCACATAAGTAGAGTGCCTGGACGTACTATGCATTGGTTGTTGTCATTTATACGCGATGAAGCTACCTGGTTATTACAATCTGAAGATAGCAACATTCTTAATACTCAAGCTACACAATCAGAAGATATATTTTCTTTTTTAACTGAGCAATTTGGCAAAGTACTAAGTTTTTTTCGTTGTTGGATTTGTTAATTATAATTAAAATTATTATTTATAATTTATTTATTCACTAGATTAAAAGTACCCTAATGTATGAGGATCTCGAATTTTCTCGATTAGTGGAGGGATTTTCTAAAGTTACAAATACTCCAATAGGTCTTGGTTTTACTGATGATGAAATTCTTACCGAACAAAAGTACCAAAGATCAATACTTTTAGACACTTTAATTATAATTATTAACACGAGCTAATGCTATGTATACTCAGATTACAGAAGTGTCAGAATGTTCTTGAATATACTATTTGCCACCCGTCTGAACACAGATTACTCCAAAGCAAGATCAGAATGGTATGTTTGAAATTTGTAAAAAGACAGTTTTTTATAATCTTTAATAATTAAAATTTATACTATTATATAGCTGCTTGAACCGCGAGATATTGAAAGATTTCGGCCGATACACACTTTGTATGACTTTTTGAAATTCGATTGTTATCGGTTTAATATTAATAACTTTAAATTATGACTAAGCAGATTCAAGATTTATCGATCCGAATATCCGCACCAAATCCGTCCTTTGTTAAATCAATTGCGGATAACTCAATTATTTACATATGAAGAAATTGAATCGGTATTTTTAAATTCAGCTTTGCTAAATTATTAAAATTAAAGCTTATTTATGGTTTTCATATATGATATATATTAGATGTCATTAGACCCGTTTCTCTCACAGTTGATGTACAACGATATCATTAATATGTATTTGGATCGTTTGAAGGTGGCAGAATTGGAAATAAAATACGGTCTTAAAAATAACCAAGTTAGGTTCATTTTATAAAGTTATTTAAAATTTTAATATCTTGGTAGCGAATAACTTTTAACCCATTTTAGGATATTGGAATCGATCATGAAGCACGAATTGATATTTTTGACGTGTCTGTGACGGAGCTAAAGCAATTATTTGATCAGTTTGTATCTTTGGAGAATAAGGAAATATTTATTATATTAATTGAGATTGCTGAATTAGTAACAAATGTTCCATTTAAGTAAGTGCTCCGTCGTTTGAAGTATTTTTACGATACTTGTGCGTAACGCTTTAGTTCTCGGCATTTCTGATATTATTAGGTTTATAACACGAATACTACTTGGCATGCTGTTGCTTTATCAATTCTGTGTGAATACTGTTCAAACTGTTGAACTGACAAAGGTATATTGTAATTAACTATAGATTGGTGCTTGAATCAAAAATGTTACCTTCTGATACTAATTTTTTTTCTTTTAAGACTATCAATTTTAAAGAGATTAACCGACTATTCCTCGATATCTGGATCATTGCATTCTCTCGGCTTTGTATCATCAGACCGTTTACATCTCAACAAACATCAGCATCGGATTTTCGCGATAACCTTTTAACACTCACAACACTGTTTCTTTATTCTTTTAACGTCTCTATGCTGTATACATGGTTACCGCCTTTTAATAACCTAAAAGATGACACATCGAAACCTCCTACGGTAGTTTTTACATCATTTTTGGATAGCCTACTTAAAATTTTTCATAAAATGATGTCGGATGATGTTGAAAATACGGATAATGAAAATATGATTACGATGATATTCGAGAAACTTGGATTTGATGTGCCATTAGAAGTTTTGATCCGAGAGTCGAAAGATTTGGAGAAGATCACAAGTAAATATACTTGGATGGCTTTATTGACAGAACGTCTTAATAATATTAATGATCAAGAATAGTTATTAATGAGTGTACTTACCTACACTTTAAGTAAACATTTTCGGAATAAAATTTTACGCATAGTATCTATTTATATAATAAATTTAATAAGCAATCGAGGAATGTCTATAAGATTTGATTGTTTAAATTTTGATCGGAAGCCCAGATTTGTCATCGTATGCGAAATGCGTTAATTTCAGAATAAGCTGTGACACGTAATAAATATTTGTCCATGTGCAAATAAATTTATGTATAAAATAAAAACATTCGCTTTAGCACAAGGAATTAATTCTTTTATTATGCCGAATACATCTGCATATGTTACACCGTGTAATAGTTGCCAAAGAGCAGCAGAGGACGTTCAATTTCAATGCAAAAAATGATACGTCTTTGATGCTATGCATGTTAAATGCATTCTAAAAACGTCCAATAACGGAGATTCCATTTCCTAGAATAGATATAATTATACATACCAAATATAGATTAGTCTTATTTTTCATACCTCGCATATTTCAAAAAGATGTAGATGATGATTATCAACGTAACGTCCAATAGGAATATTGGATCAAATATTTAAATAGGATCAATTCAAATTCTAGTTCTCTTTGAGAGGATATTTTAATCTTCTGGAAAATGATACAATTCCAGATAGAAGTGATAAAGATTAGCCAAATCTGAGTTTTCTCCTGTATTTCTTCGGGAAATTAAGAAAACAGTGATGAGGGCATAAAAAAAATTCTTTTTGAGGATTAATTATGTGGCAATGATGAACGAATGTAAAAGGTTTGATTTTTTGAAGTTCAAAGTAACTTCAAGGAAAACTGATAACACTTTTTTAAGATCTCACCATTTTTTCCATCCTTGCATGGATATGGTGGGGGTCTGAGCCACGATTGAAATATACTTTCTTGCAATTGATTTGGTCAATTTAATTAATTAGAAATTCGCAAAGCATATATGTATTGATAATTAGAACGAATGGTAAGCAATTAAAAAAACATTAACATGCACACTATATTCATTCCGTACATTAAATTTATTTTATGCATAAAAATAAAATTTAAAGCGCACATTAGTTTTATTTATCGATGTGCCGCGTGCACTACTTTTTATCTTTTATTAACAGTAATTACACTTAAAACTAGGTGTACAAAAAATAATTTAAACCATAAATTTTTCTCATTAATGGTAAGCGAAAAAACCGAATTAGATAATAAAACAAATCAGGATATTATAATTTTTTTTACTTTATTAAATGAAAATTTATTGTATTATTATTTTTTTTTTTATTTTTTATTTTTTTTGTTGATACATATTAAATTAAAATATTTTTTTTAAATCATTAAAAAAATAAATAAATACAAAATTTTTCTGTGATAAAATAGTTAACATATAAAAATTCCTAGTTAACAGTTTCAACTCCAACAGTAAATTTTGTTTGAGTTCCTTTGTTAACCTTTTCCCATTTTACTGCTTCTTTTTCTCTCTTAAGATTTCTTACTGTAGCCTCCAATTTTTTCCTTTCATCTGTTTCTCGTCGTAATAATTTTGTTTGTTCTTCTCGTGAATCTGCCATCATCTTTCTAAATTCTTTTCTCAAAGTTGCTGTCGTTACTGGTTCATTTCCATCCATTCCTAAATGTTTGATCTTTTCGTCCGCTAATTCATTTTCTAAAGCCTCACATTTGGATTGTAGTTGATCGATATTATTTTGAAGTTTGTGCCGTTCAGTATCAAAATCAATGAAATTACGTGTCAGTCGATCAAATTCACGTAAAACACCATCCAGTTCATTTTGATTCGTTTCTGATCTCTTTTCCAATGCATCTTCACGCTCTGAAAATTGTTTCTGAACAATGACTATACTTTCTTTAAGTTTCCTAACTTCCTGTTCGAGTTTTGATTTAGTTGATCGTAATTGAATCAACTCTTGTTCTTCATCAACTTGTGACGAGGTACGACTACTGCCTTTATTAAAACGTGACATACCATCAGTAGCAGCTTTTAACTCGGCAAGCTCTGACTTAAGCCGAACGACATCTCCTTCTAATCGACTTATTGTCACTTCTCTTTGGTCTAATGTTCTAGATTTAGATTTTAACATATCTTCCAAGTCCTTTACAACTTGCGACAAATTATCCTTTTCGGTAGTATTATGTGATAAATTAGATCGAAGTTTTAAAATTAAAGCATCACGTTCCTTAATCTGTGCTTCATATTCTTGTTCTTGTGCAGCCAATTGTTGTTGAAATTCTTCTTTAATTGATGTCCCATTATCGACAATTTGAATGACCGATTGACGTTTTAAAATAGCTTCATATTTTCGCACTTTTTCCTGGCTTGTACTGAGACGCTCACGTAAATCTTCTAACTCATTACGCAAGTCTGATTGCTTTTCGTTTGTCGAAGCAGCTCGAGATATTGCATTTTGAGCTTTATCTTCAAGCTCCATTACTCTGCTTTTTGAGTTTTCAAGCTCAATTAGAGTATCTTCAAGTTCCTGCTTTAAGTTATCTTGACCCTTTAATTTCATTGCCTGATCGTGTATTCGTGATTGTAGGTGTGAAATTTGATCCATTAATCTTTTATTTTCATCACCAACTCTTTGAATACGTGAAATTATAGTTTCTTTTGAAATTTTTATTTTATTATCTTCAGATCTATCAGATGGTAGATTCGAAAATGATTTCTTTAGAGCTTCCATTATTTCATCATATTCCCTTTCTGTCTTTTTCAATTTAAATTCAACATTTGTATCATTACTTGTTTCATTCACACCTTTGGCACGATTTTTCCGCTCCATCTCCTTAATTTGATCTTCAAGGTCTTGAACACGTTCTGCTTTTGCCTGTAATTCAAATATCTCATTTTCCATATTTTTAACTTTCTTTTGTTCTGTCTCTACTTTCTCCTCTGCACGTTTCAAATTATTCAATGCTTCTTGTAATTGGCTTTGAGAATTTTCATCATCAGTGTTATTTTTAGTTGAATTTATCTCCTGTTCACTTTTATATACTCGAAATGCATAAGCTTCTAGAGCTTTTTCTAAGGCACTTAGATTCTCAGATATGTTCCTGTATTGTTCTTTTTGAAGATGTTGCGTAGCCGTCGTCATAGTAGATAGACGATAAAAAGTAGAGTTACCCGAATCAGATTCATCAGAGTCTTCATTATCAGAAGACGTACTGTTTTTTCCGCTATTCGCTTTGTGTTTTCTCAACAAGATATCCAACCGGCTTCCAACCTCTTCTAATTCAGTTCTCAGTTCGGCAACAGTTCTTTCTCTAGCTTCTGTTGCACTATCATCAATTTTAGCCCTTAATTCCTCAATTTCTTTGTCTTTGCGTTTAATCGCCATTCTAGCTTCTGCAAGCGTCTGATGAGCATTATGAAGTGAAGTTTCTAAACTAGATACCTTTTCTACTAATATAGGATCCGGACCATTAGAATTTATACCCATTATCTCATTATATAGATTGTCAATTCCATCGCCACCTTCCTGAATTTGTATTGAATTGGTTTGAAATTGATGAACATGCTTCTCTTCTATTTTACAAATACCCGTACTAAGAATTCCAGCCATATGCTGCAATAATTTCCTCTGCACTTCTCCAGCGCGTTGTGTCAACTTCCAAAGTTCTGTAGCAACTTGATCAACTTTACGATTAGCAGCGGAAAGATGATCCGTTGCCTGACGCGATAATCTTCTATTAGAGGCATGAAGTCGAGCAAGTGAGCTAGCAGCTTCTCGAATTTTTGATTCAAGAGAAAGTTTAGATGTTAAAGCTGTAATACGCGTTGTCAACAATGAGTAATCCTATAATAATTTTTTTTTTTGGAAAATTATAAAATCGGTCAAATATATATATATATGTTTGCGGAATTTAAAAATTCGTTATATTTTAGGATCGAAATATGAGATTTTAAATACAAAATTTTCCATTCATGATAAGCAAGGCCAGAATAGACTTTATTAAGATACATCACGCGTACAAGTTTAAAATTCAAATGTATTAAAATCGAACTTAAATTCTTAATTGAACACCAATTACTTTTACCAACCTTTTTTAATTCCTCAACCTCTTCTAAACTTAAAATATCAAAATCCTTCGCGTCAATTATAGCTTGAGAAACTAGTAATTGAATTAACATTTCATCCGTCGTATCCAATAATGAAGTTCCGGGAGGAAATTTTGGAGAAGTAGCGGAAGCAAGCATGGCTTCAGACGAAGAAAGTAAATCACTAGCAATATTTAAAGACGGCGGTTTAATTTTTGGAGAAAGTGGCGGTGAAGTAGTATTTATGTTATCAGAAAACACTCCGGAAATTGGTGATATTGGCTTATAACTATGGTCAGAACCACGTCTCCTTGATTGTAACGATCTAATACTTTCTTCATAGTCCTTTTTTTCGGGACTTAGTAATTCGCGATCTACCGATGCGGTATCCACTGTAGGACGTGTACGAGCAGTTGAAGTTGTAGGCGACACTGCACTAGTTATCGACATCGTACTCATAACCGGTTGAATTATTGTGGTTTGAGTTGAACCACTTGTTGGAGTTGAAGAACTGGAATTTCTTAAAGGAGATTTTGTAGGCATCCTCGGAGGTTGATTCATAAAGCTCAAATCAGTTGCGGACTTATTATTTTTTAATGGAAAAGAGGAATCCCCGTTGTCTTGCTCAGGAACAGGTTTTCTCCTTGAATAGTTTGACATTTTGTTTAAATATTGTTTTAAATGTTATCCACGAAAAATTTAAGTGTGAAAAAAATTTACACTTTTTCACTGAAAAAAATGAAAGGACTTTAAAAAAAAAATTTTTTTATATATGTAGGAAAAGATTTGATAAAACTGGTCCCAGAGAAAGATTTGGGAACCGATAAATGAAGAACTTCATTTAGAAAATATATAACTTTCTGGTTTTAAAAGACATCGAAACATTATCTACTGCTACCTTTTTGTAGTTGTGCACAAAAAAACATGCGTGACACAAGTGTGCATTCTTGGAAATTCATTTAACACATCTTGGATTTGTTACCGGTGAGTTCTCTTCTGAGGAATTCATTAAAAATACATATATTCTTAAAAATTACCTTAGCCATGCACTATCGTTATACTAGATAAACTTTAAGCATGTTTTTTATTTTGGATGTGGTCTGAACCGTCTTTTGAACCGATCTAAGTGATCGAATGCTAAGTAACGGTAGATAATTAAACAATAAACTCGATCACATGAATCTGGACAAAAAATGGATACCTTATTTTTCCGATATAAATATAGACAGCATAGAGGGCTTTAATTCTGATTGGTCAATCATTAAATGTATCGTTACATATACATTGCATATACTAGGTTAATGCGTAGCATTGTGTGTCCGGAGCCTATTATAATTTTGTAAAAACGTGTTTGTTTTTGTAACACCAAAGTACAAATTTAGACACGCGTGCGGACAGACAAGAAAATTAAAAATTACATTTTTGATATATTTCTTAGTAGTGTATCAAAATAGTAACTTTTAATGCATCAATAACGTAATTTTGGTATCACCATACGTAAACACTAAATGTCCTCCGCTACGCTCCGGACAATAAAATTGGTCCAGGTTCAAAAATAATTGTGACGGATTAAAATGAAATCGGATTAAAATGAAATATTATACAATATAAAAAAATAGACAAGCCACCGAAAAATAAACATTTTTGAGGTGCATTTTTTAGAGCTAATGGTTAGTTTTAGGGTAGAGTTTATAATAATAAACAGGTATAAGTGGGTTAAATAGAAATCCTCATTTCATTTTAATCCGATCTGTGACAAATTTTAATTAACATTAATAGTCAAATCATAAATTGATCAAGATTTGCAGTTTTTGAAATTGAATAGTTTGAACGTACATTCAGTGACAAATCAATTAGTTTGAACCTACATTCCATGACAAATCAATTAATTAGATAAAATTAGTTGGTTTGTATATTATCATGAATATCACTGAAAAAAAGCAAGACTACAATGAACTTTTAAAAAATGCTGGTAAAGAATACTGTTACAAAGGATGGCAATATCAGTATGGAAATATTACCACTATGAATGTCATTATGAATATATCTCGCCTTATGAATCTGATTTAATGAAGTAGATATAAAATGAAGCATTTCTAATTTAGTCACCCAAGTTAGTTCGTGAAAATGTGATCTCAAAAATTTATGAAGATTTCCTTCATGTGAAAAAGGAAAAACCATCATATATTCATTTGTCTTTGGGTTTTGCGTTAAACCAAATAAATTAGGCAAAGTATCACCGAATATAGATTTATGTTCTATAGTCGCATAATCTATAAACCTCAAATTCATAAAAGTTAAATAAATTTATACTGTTAAACTTCCCAAAATCGATCCTCTCAAAATCGATAACCTGTCAAATCTGATAAAAATTAGTCTACCAAGTCCGTTTCCGTTATATAAATTTAATGGTTTATAATGTTTCCAAATCTGATAACCTCTCAATACCGATACAAAATCTGTCCACCATGCGTACCGGTTTTGGGAGGTTCAACAGTATTTAAAACATAAAATGATTTATTTAACTTACTTCTTTCGAAAAATTAGAAGAATTTTCGTCACAACACGGCAAAGTATTAAGTGCAACTTCAAAATTTGTTTTACGAAATCTTTTGCCATTGAATGTAATACATCGTAGACCATCTAACCAAGATGCAAAAAATACTGAACTAAATCCTCATTTGCCGATTATTCTAATATCATCTAGTCTATCAAACGGAATCCATTCCAACATTTCAAGATAAGTGACAGTTCTAAGCTGAAAGTTTTTTATTAAATCATCAATTTTCTTGTTCCTACTTGTCCATCCTTGAATTGTTAAATATGGTTCGCATACAATACACCAGCAAGTTGTGATACCAAAATTATTACAGTATTCACATTTTGTTTCTGCAATTCTATAATATATCGTGAAAGTTTAAATGAATCTTTATTATACCATTCTATATGTTTGTCTTCGTTTATTTCCACGCCAATTCCAAATTTATAACAAATAGATGTTTTAAAAATTCCATTATGATATCCAACTTCCGCCGACTTTAGATAATATTTGAATGCCTCTTCTTCGTTCCTTTTTGCACCGATACCCCAGTTGTAACAGAACCCAGTCCAGAAAATACCTTCACCATCACCAAAATCGGCAGCCATTTGATAATATTCAAACGCCTTGCATAAGTCCTTTTTAACACTATTTAATGTTTAATAAATCGTCAACATACGTATCAGATCTTAGATTATGTAAAAAGATAAACCAAAACGATTCAGAAGATAGTATCTATGGAGTTTTGCCTTATGTTGCTCCAGAAGTCTTATTGTTTCGAAAGTATACACCAAAAACAGATGTCTATAGTTTTGGAATCATTATGTCAGAAATGACAACTGGTCAAAGACCTTTTGACGGTCACGAATTTGATTCAAAATTAGCTATAGGTATTATTTGCGGAAGTTTGCGGCCAGAATTTGCTTCCGGAACTCCAAAATGTTATGTTGAATTAGCATTGCGATGCATGGATCCTGATCCGCAAAAACATTTGAGGAGATTACTTTTAAACTTAAAAAATGGGCAATATGTATGGGAAGTACAGAATATGGCAAAAATTTAAAAAGTTTAGTTGATAATAAAATTAAAAAGGAATTTTCTGAGGCGGATAATAAAAGATTATCAACTATTTCAACTATTAAACCGAAACATCCAGACCATATGTACACAAGCAAACTCATTGATACAAAAGAGATTTCAAAAAAAATAATTGAACTGAAACATCCTGAACACATGTACACCAGCAAATTGATCAAGATCAGCATGGAATTGCTCAAAGGCAGCCAACCGATTGACCATATTGACGTTCTAGACAATTACTAAATTATGATTTAACTATGTAAAATATTATTTAAGCTTTGCCATGTGTGATTATAAGAATTTTTATGCATCTATGCATGTAATCTTCATGATAAATAGATAAATAATATATAGTTATCTGTTGGTACGATATCGGATAATAAGATATATAAACAAATATACTATAAAAACTTACAATTATTTACACTATTAAATATACTGTTTTTATACATTATAATATTAAAAATATTATTAAAAATTATATTTTTTTTAAGTTTAAATCTGCTAAATTATCATCTGTAAAAAAATAAACCAACTTTTGTTGTATGAAATTGCATGTTGTTGTTAAATATTTATATTCATTTAAACTTAATTACTATTTCTGTATCTTAAAAATTTCTTCAATTCGTGATTATTAATAATAATCTACAATACCAATTAATAATTTCACTGCGGTACCAGGTACGTACGTAGTTGACTAATTCGCTCACAAACAGTAGCGATCTGGTTCATCTGAACCACTTAACATCCCTAAATACTGGCAAACCTTACCGGTATTAATAAGTTATAAATTCAATGAACGCTAAACTAATTAATTGATGAAATTGATGAAACAGCAAAAAGGTAGTGGAATTAACAAAAATTGGTAAAACTGATGAATGATGATAAAATAAAAAATATGAAAAATTGGTAAAAGAAAAAGTAATAGATATTATTCGGATTTTTTTTTACAGAGTAATTACTACAATTATAGTATATTTAAATAAAACAGGTTATCTAATCCTATTTTTATAAACTGATGCCACGACAATATAAACTTTTACTCATTTAATTATTAAATCTATTTTGGTGTCATCGTTTTATTAACACATCAATTGCCATTACTAAATTAATATGACGTAAAATTTAAAGAAAAAAATTAAATTAATTAAGGTTAGAGGATAGTTTATATTAAAATTTTGCGAGGATTTTGTTTTTTTTGTTAAAACCCATAGATGTTTTATACGCAAAATTTCAATTTATAATATGTACCCACGATTTATACAAATAGAAATTGACTTTTTATTGCAGTTATAAATTCCGAGACAACTGAAATAACCAAATCAAAGGGAAATTAAAACAATAATTGATCATAAGTGATATTGTTGCAATTTCCTTTTTTGAGTTTCAATTCGCATCTCTGTTTTCTAGTCAGAATCGAATGATTTTGGTATACCTCAATAAGACAAATCAGATGATACTAAGATCATTCGATTTCCTTATAAAATTGAGAAAGGGTACGTAACATACCAGTATACTACAATACTATACAGCATATTCATTTATAACCCTTGTTAAACAATTAGTTAGCAAATACTGATCAACCAATTCTCATCTCTAACTGTTAAGAATAGCATCGATTATGCCAAATTACTAAGAAACCACATGTACTACCTAGGTGCTTCTATGTCATTATAAATAATAAATCTCGATTTTTTTTTTAAAAAAAAATACAAGACTTCTTACTATAAAAAAATGAGCGAAAGTGTACCATTGTTAGAAACGCGAGAAGATCTCCATAATCTCATTGACTGCAAAGAACAATTCTGGCGTTTGTGCAAACAATGTTGGAGTTTGTGCAAAAAATGCGAATTCTGGTTTTTGTTTTCAATAATTTTAATAATGATTATATCAGTTATCTTCTGTAGTTCGTCAGCTACGAACTTACCGACAGACGTATCAAAAATTCCTTATGAATATAGATTAAGATGTAAAAGTTTTTGGATATGTAGCTACGTTATTGAAGGCTATATAACTGAATTTAATAATGAAACTAATTCTGCTAGTTCGACTAAAGCTGATAATTCTAATCAACCTGAGTTCATAAAATATGCTGAAATCATCTCAGATCCTGTTTGGAAGTACGTTGTTATAGAATTTAGATATTTTCAAAACGGCACTGAATTCCCCGTTTTAACCGTGACTTCTAGGATCGTTAATCATTTTACAAATGAAATAGAAATTGTATTTACTGCGTCTAATGACAATGATTTAGATTTAAAATCCTGTAAATATCGAATTTCTTGGACTTGGTGGTTTAACGGTTTTATTTGGAGACTATGTGAAAATGCAAACGAAACGGATTTCAAAAAAATTGCTTTTTTTAAAGGAAGTCCTGGTTGGGGTTTGACTTTCTCATCTGTTGACCGGAAGATAAATTATGGTTATAGTACTAAATCGACTTTTTTCTGGGATCTGCATAAAAAGTATGTTTTGAATTATCTTTATTTTTTGTGTTTAAATTGTTATAATAACATTCTGATTCTTTCGTTAACTTAATCAAAAATATAGAGATATATTCATTGATCGAGCTGCTCCTTTTCCTCCAGCCATACCCGCTCTATATGCTGCTTATTATGATTACTTGGAAAGTGAACGTTATGATAATGATGGGCGTGATGATGATTATGATGATAATTAGGGTTGGGTTCGGTTACGAATATAGCCGACTATAGTCGACTATTAGTCGTAGTCGACATTTAGCCGACTGACGGCTTAGCTGACCAGCTAAAAATGTGGTTGATGCCGGATTTTTAATTTCCTGGAACACCTGATAAAAAATTGGCCGAATGATTTTTCAGCCGATTCGATTAAGTTTGTTGATCCGTATAATAAAAAACTATTCATATGGACGAGAATTTTTAATATAATATTGTGATTATTGAAATTAGAATCACTAAAATAAAAAATTCCGCCCATATGTGGGTTGTTTTTTGGTTACTTTTTGGTTACTTTACTCATGAATAATGTATAAAAACTGATAAGTAACTCATAAGCAATTCATAAGTAATTTTAAATCACTGGCAAATAATAATGTTTAATTTTAATAATCATATTATATCGTATATATTATTAGCTCAAATTCTATGTAATCTCATCATTCAACTTCTGAACTTATCTAATCACAAAAATTGAAGATTTTCACCTGTTTTACAGATCGTTGTAACAATAATGTCAACATTATTAAACTTTTGTTCAAATACTTATTTAACATGTTTAGTTTGTCAATAAGTCTTAATAAGAAATATAAAAAAGGTACTACTGTATATACATATTAATTAGACTTTTATACAGTCAGCTTTCTCAGTGCAATTCATTGGGACCAGACTTTTAGCCACATGCATTTAGAGAACAATTAAGAAAAATTGCATTTATAGAGACAAAACGTATACCAAACATATATTTGGGCCCGAAGTTAAAGCTTTACCTAACTATTATGAGTTTACCATTTAATATTAACTTATATACATTAAGAAGTTATATAGATGATAGGTTATATTTTACTTAAATATTGATAGTATCCTTTTATAGCTGCTAAATCTACTGTTGTTACAGTAATAAATTATTACAGTTTCATGTAACCATGTGAAATAATTAATAGATATCTGGTAAATTAAATAAATTTTCAATAAAAAAAAATTAAAAAATGCTCCATTTTGTTCAAATTTAAAGTTTAAAGATTAATTTGGTAAATTTCTAGTCAAGTTAATATATAAAGTTTTGAGAAGTTACGATTTGAAATTTAATATTTTTCTTATAAAAAGACTATTAAATACTACTTGATTTCGAATTGTATCTTCTCCATAACTTACATATTAATTTATTAAAAAATTTTACTTAGTTGCTTGACAGAGTATATATAGAGAGTTTTTTTATTAATTTAAAATATTAATAATTTTTGTTTAAAATTACAGTATAATATTTTACTATGGATATTTGTAATTATTATACAAAAAATTTTACTATTCGATTTTTATATAGGATTATATATAGCTTTGATCTATATAGTACACTAGATACCCCATCTGAATATGCTATTGGGGTATTCTGTCAACTAATTATGACAAAGACTAATGTAGATTTATAATAATTAAATTAATTATAATGATGATTGTATTGTTACACAAATAAATATCATTTTTTAATAATAATTTATATAAAAAAGTAATAAATTTTAAAATCTAAAAACTTTTTACTAGACCAATTATTTGAGCTAAAGTTAACACAAAACAGATTAGATATATATACTTTAATTTGTTATATGGTTTTTTGATTAGTATATAAAATTTAATATTTTTAGCAAATAATAATAAACTTTATAGGAATTAATTTGTAATAACTTAAATTTTGTCTATGTTTGGCAAAACGGCTTTTATAATTTTATTTAGAAAAAAAGATGCTATTATAGGAAAAACAAAATAGTATAACATTGGTCGAAAAGAAAAAAAGAAAACCAATAGAAAAAGAACTAAAAAAAAGGAAGAAGCAAAGAGAAAAGCCCCATAGTTCGACTACAACCATTAGTAAAAAAATTTCAAATATTAAAAAGGTTGTAAATAAAAGATAAAAGAGAATGATTATAAATTTTATTAAGAATAGCACTAAGTCATTCTGGTTTGGCTCTTGACAGGGCTGACAAGATCTTCTACCTTTTCTGGGAGGTAGTGTGACAGGTCATGCTAGTGGTTGCTTATCAAGTAACTGAGTGATACCAGACTTGCTATATGTGAATATTAGAGTAAATATAGTATATATATTTCTTTTTCTTTTAATAAAGGTACCAACAAGACTGTCAAAGAGTTAAAAAAAAAAAAAACTTAAATTTTGTATTATTTTTAAAATTGGCTATGAGTGTTTAAACTACTAATTGTAAGAAATTATTTAATATATTTGGATCTTCTTTAGTATAGGTGGGCAATATAGAAATATTATAAGATTATAATATAAAAAAACTTTAACCCTAACTCTAACCTAACTATAAATTATACTATAAATCTTACCCTAACTTTAACTAATCCCAAATTTGTTTAGATTAGTTTAAATAGCTATTTTTATATATTATAATTTTATATTATTTTTATTTTTATTTTTTTTTATATATTAAGATGACCATTTAGATTTCTTGGCACTTAGCTTTATTCAGGTAATTACGATATTACATCAATTTCACGAGGATACAACTAGCCACACGTGTATTTTTGA